GGAAAAAAACAAACACCAGGTACTCATCCTCTGCAACATCCACATATGTATTTAAAATGATATACACTCTTAAGGGCACTACACAATGAATAGCGCAAGAGAACAAAAACCACAAAAATGGCTCTTGTGTGCTAGCTAGCACACAAGCCAGTGCTATCCTAAGTTGTTCTCTAAAAGCAATAAGCACCGTCCATTATATTTGCTTTTGCAGAAATACACTCTTTTAACTATTAAGATAGCTCTCAATTTTTCTCAGCCCTGTTTAATTATGTTATGCAGTCTAACACAGTCTAGCTTCATAATCTGCATTTGGTGACTGGTGCCATACATTTCACTCACTTTTATGTCACCAGGGGTTCTTAGGAGAGCTTGACTGGTTCATTCTTGCCCCAGTTGAAGAAACCTATCTAATTAATGATTAAATAAATACATTTGTAAGGACAGTTTTTCAATGCTCTTCAACTTACATGAGCCCAGTTCTTCGGTTATTAAAAGCTAACCTGAAAACTTATATAAACAGAGAAAAGGCTATGTTGGTCTGAGTCATTATGGTGCGTTAGTAAAACACAGCAGCTGAATGCCCAAATGAGTTTAAATGAGAGTACATTAAAATGGGGCAGATATCGGCCACACATTTTGTACTTGTGTGCCACCCATTTGGGCTTGCAATTTGGGAAGAGGTGGATACACATTGTCTTAACACTCTACGTTGTAAATTGAACACTATAAGAGTTAATAAATATTAACAATGTAAAAACAACACTCACTGCACACTGTAAAGTGTTAAAGGTAACACTGAATGGTGTGGACCCACATAGACACCATGCAGTGTTAATTTAACACTGGCACATTTGCTGTGTAGTGTTAATTCCAAGGAGAAATAGACTGTCTGACAAACGATGTGAGAGACTCCTCCTAATGAGATATAACCACTGGTTTACTGATGAATCGGCAACTTTATTGAGATTATTCAGTGTGTTTGCCATTTAAAAGGTATTCCTCATTTAAGTTTGTATTTATTTTGTGCTGTTAGAAAAAGGGCAGTCTATTATTTTCCATCCATCCATTTTTGTAACTGCTTATCTTACTCAGGGATGCAGGGGGTCCAGAGCTGATCCTGGAGGATATGGGTGCAAGGCGGGGAACAACCCAGGATGGGACGCCAACCCATTGCAGGGCACACTCACACACCATTCACACCTATGGGCAATTCGGCAACTCCAGCAAATTCAGCATATTTGTGGACTGGGAGGGGGAAACCCCACACTGATGCAGGGAGAACATGCAAACTCCACACACATGGAGCCACGGCGGATGCTCAATTATATAGGCTATTAGTGACTGGTAATTAAATAAAACAATGCATCACTGCAAAGTAATGCAAAAGTAATGCAACAAGTAGTGTAACTAATTACTTTCCACTGGGAGTAATTAATAAAGTAATGCATTATTTTTATAAAAAGTAATATGTTACTTTTTTGAGTGCTGACCCCAACACTGGCGATGAATGAGGTCACCCATCCATTATCATAACCACTTAATCCCCACTGGGGTCGCAGGGGGCCCAGAGCCTATCCCGGGAACAATGGGCACAGGCGGGAAGACCGGTTTTACTGTATTTCCATCTCAGCCAGCAGTGTTTGGATGATCTGTTTATACAAATTCTGTGCTCCTTCAATGATGAGTTGTTATATTGTCTGCAGGTAACTTCACACCTCCTCACACAGCTACTTACTGAAAGCGTCCATAACTACAACAAATGTTCTTTTTCTTTTTGCCACCTACTGGAAACACCCAGTCAAATTCCTTGCAAATGAACAGGTGATGTGCACTGGCATGCAAAATGTCTGCTAGACACCCCGATGATGAAATTTACAGCCCTCACCCCATGTGCAGACTGTAAGCATACCATGAGTTTGAAGTGGCCCTGACACACAAGGGATCAGCTGTCTGTAATTTTATGATATAATGACAACAGCAAACATTCAAGAGTGTTTTCTTGATTTACTCCATATAAAGGACACAGCTGGAGCTGGTCTTGCCAAATGTCTTAGCCAGACATAAACCTCTATAACAACAATATAAGAGGCAGGGCTACACTGGCTGTGCTGCTGTCAGCCATGTGCAAGCTGTCATAAAGGAGACTAATGAGAAGGTCTGTATTGTGCTTTGCTTTGCCCAGAGACTGACCCTTGTTGTTGTGGACATGTGCTTCAGCTTCATGTAATTCCTTTGGTGTTTCTACCTTCATGAGAGGCTCTGTGAAGTGACATGACCTTTTTATTGAGGTTCAAGAAGTAGTGAGAGTGTCAGGGACAGGGAGATACAAAACCCTGCATATCCTTAGTGTGACAAGATGGTTTTCCAGGATTAGTAATTGCAATGTTCTTCTGTCCATTGCTCCTGTAGTTTTTACCATGTATTGGATCCAGACAAGGAATAGTTTTGATTGTGACTAATTGGGTACAGCATTAGCCTTAAGCAAGGCCACTGATTGGGCTTTGGATGCAGCTGGTGGCTTTGAACAGAATCTTTATAGTGACTGGTGTCCTATCAAAACATCTCCAACGAGAAGATATGGACATCGGCACAGCTGTAGAACTGGTGTGTGACTGAGAATTGGAGCTCTCAGCTACGGACTGAGGGGGTGTTTGAGGAAATATGGAAGGAAGCCAACACTATAGCCTGAAAGATCAATGTTCAGTGGGAGGTGAAGAGGAGTAGGAAGGTATTAAGGAATCAGACCAAGGTTACTCACAAAGATAAACTTAGAAGAGTTAATTTTTTAGTAATTAACTTCAGCATACAGAGCATTACAGACATGTTCAGTCATGACACTTTGCAGCTTCTGAGATGGACAGACTGCTTCACAAACCCCAGAAGGGAGAAAATACCCCAACCCCTTCAGATGTGTGGGTATTACAGGGGGGTGTGTCCACCACCCAAGCAAGGGGCTGTTCACTCATAAATAGCAATGGGAACAAAGTCCTTGCATGTCTTGTGGAAAACCTTCTGCAAGCCTACCCTGACTTAGGCTCACAATACCAGCCTATTACAGTATTACTCTGCCAGTCACCTCTTGTAGTGATAAACAGTCCTTTTCAGCACTAAAGTTTGTCAAGAACCGACATGGGATTTTCACCCAGAGAACCGCCGCTCACGGGATGTTTTTTTCTTTTTTGACCCATTTTCTGCCCATTCGACCCAATTGATGGTTATGCATGAAAATCCCAGTAGATCAGCAATTTCTGAAATACTGAAACCAGCACATCTGGCACCAGCAAAAATGCAACATTCAAAGTCACATAAATCACCTTTCTTTCCCATTCTGGTGTTTGATGTGAACTTTTTCAGTGATACTGAAGCTCCAGACCTGTATCAGCATGATTTTCTACTGACATATGATTGGTTGACTATAAAGTGCCCAGTGAGTGTATGTTGCCTATGAAACTGCACAAAAAAAAGGTGCATGACGCCCCTGCATGGAGGGAACCAGCGCAAACACGGGGCGAACATGCCAACAGCACACATGGGAACTTATACACAGACTTACTGATGGATGAAACCATGATGACCAGGAATGTAACTCCAGTGATTCTTGTTACGTAGGAAAGGAGTTTCCCTAATTTTTCACTGTCTTCTGAATATTTTATCCAAACCAACATGTTGACAACTGAAACAAGAAGAGAACTGTTAACAAACATAAAATTCATTTCAGACAAAGAATACAAAACAAATGTGTTGAGTGTCCTGTATTTTAGGCGCTGCTCTGCACAGCCCTGTCACATGGGGGATAAGGGGTTAAATCCCATGTCAGACACTGTGGTAAAAAAAACTTAATTTGAACATATAAATAGGATAACAAAAGGTAACCCAGGGTGCTGGGGGCAGGGGGGCTTTAATGCACAGGCTTAACCAGGGACCTCAGCTGAAAAAGGATCAGCTCCCCCCCACTAACCCAGAGAAATACAACTTTAATGACAACAGTAATGGGCAGGATCACAGGGGGCCTGGAGTCTCTCCCAAGCAGCACAGGGCAGAGGTACAGCTTGGATGGGAGGCCATACACACACAGTCACATGCTATGGGCAACTTACAGACAAGACTGAGGGAGACTGTGGGCTGCTGGAGGAAACTGGAGTAGCTGGTGGAGACTCACATGACATGATGAGCACATGCAGACTGTACACAGAAACAGAGGAGGGGGACTCAAACCCACATAACATGGGGAGCACAAGCAGACTGTACACAGGCACAGAGGAGGGGGACTCAAACCCACATAACATGGGGAGCACAAGCAGACTGTACACAGGCACAGAGGAGGGGGACTCAAATGCACATAACATGCAGAGCACAAGCAGACTGTACACAGGCACAGAGGGGGGGACTCAAACCCACATAACATGGGGACCACAAGCAGACTGTACACAGGCACAGAGGAGGGGGACTCAAACCCACATAACATGGGGAGCACAAGCAGACTGTACACAGGCACAGAGGATGGGGACTCAAACCCACATGACATGAGGAGCACATGCAGACAGCACACAGACACAGTGGAGGGGGACTTAAACCCACATGACATGGGGAGCACATGCAGACTGTACACAGACACAGAGGAGGGGGGGTTCAAACTAGCAGCCTCAAGGTGTCAGGCAGCAGTGCTGACCTCTGAGCCACTGTGCTACCACATGGATACAGATTAACAGCGAACGAAACAGATACTTCATTAAAAAAAAAATTAATTATGTAAATCATCACACATTTCTTTGTTTAAATACAAAGCAGAAAATTAATCTCTATGCATATTCCAATATTCGAGAAATCCATTTATAAACATACTCACTTCGGAATATAAGAAAAAAGATGAACATAATTATGATTCCACCAAACATTCCTCCAAATTTTGCTTTCTCAGCTGGAGATGGGGAATATTTCACGAAGATCTCAATGAAAGAACCTGAAATGAGGTAAGAATAGTTAGTCAACAAGTAAGTAATATTAGACACAAGAAAAAACAAATGCATTCAGTGGTTCATTTGTCTATCAGATGCTTTTGTCTAATGTAACGTGTAAGTAAGGATCAGAGAGCAGAATCAGCCTGTGGTTAAATTCTAATCCATTGATTCACACAGGTTAGGAAGCAGATTAATAAGGTCATGAAAAGTCGGTGAGGGTGTTTTGCTGGGAGAAATTATTCACCCTAAATCATGCTTCCAAACAGCTATAAAACCACAAGCATACAGTAGGTGAACCAAATGAGCCAAACAGCCTGTATGATCCCATCCAGGGGGCAAATAAGTGTGACCCCAATGAGCACATATGAAGGCAGAGCAATGGGGTGCAGTCAGGCCTTCTGTGAAATTCCAGGGCATGAGGGACACACAGGGATCAGGAGCTGGGCCCCCATTGGAAGGTGAGAGACCAAAACAAGTAACATTCACATCAGGGACACATTACTGTTACAATGAACCGAACTCCACCTACACATGTTATACAGGTATGTATGAGGAGGGGTAGGATTAGGATATCCATCCGCCCACACATTTTATACGTTAGTGTATGAGGAGGGGTAGGTTCAGGATATCCATCCGCACCATAAATGTTATACGTTAGTGTATGAGGAGGGGTAGGATCAGGATATCCATCTGCACCATAAATGTTATACGTTAGTGTATGAGGAGGGGTAGGATTAGGATATCCATCCGCACCTTACATGTTATACGTTAGTGTATGAGGAGGGGTAGGATTAGGATATCCATCCGCACCATACATGTTATATGTTAGTGTATAAGGAGGGGTAGGATTAGGATATCCATCCACACCGAGTTCCAAGTTCTGCATGAGTTCTCCCAGCCAATCATAATCATTTTCATCCTTGCTGTTGGACTCATAGACAGTGTGGCACATTTGTGAGAAATTGAACAGAAATGAGTTGAGGAGGAGAAACTTAAACAAGCACATTTGTGTTCCGCTGTAGCCTATGTAAATATTTTGTATTCCATAGAGACGAAATTGAGCAAAACCAAGTGATTTATTGGCAGCGTGGACTATTGATGATAACACTCCTGATTGAGAGTTTGCTGTGTGCATTTGGCTGCTGCATCTCAACGGTGTTTTTGTTTATTTGTTGGTCTTGTTGCTTATTTTCTTAACTTGGCCGTATGATAACACCTATAACACATCTGCTCTTTACCTGCACAAGCCCTCTTCTTTTGCTCCTGCTGTGTTTCTGTATCTGTGCCCAGTGAGTTTTTCCCTCTTGCTTCATTGCTGTCTCTCTGTTTTAAGTTTTGCGTGGGTATGTTGTGTATATGTGTATGTTTACAACTTATTAGTTTCAATATCCGGATTTGTTATGTTTGTTTGTGTCCTTAGACCATCTTAATGCTTTGTGTGTCACCCTTATAAATGTGCCTCACAGGTTATTGCCTATTCTATCCTTCTCACTTAAACCATTATATAGATATGAATAAAGATATATGTATAGTTACCCATGCATACTCTCATGGTTCTCAGAGAAATTAGGAAACTTAAATAAGGTAACTAAGTATCTTAGTGAGTCTCCTAACTACTATAAGAAGCCTTTTATTTGTCTGACAACCCCCTGCATTCTCTATATTCCTTCTTACCTGATCCCACAATTGGTCAGCTGGCCATTTTCTTTGTCCTCTACTTTTTATATTAAATGAATGAATCGATATGTGTATTGTTAAACCTGGATAGCAGATCATTGTAATAAGCCAAGCCAACCACAAATTGTCATTTACATGTTAATGTAAATATTTAAATGAGACTGTGATTACAGTGAAGTAACAGGTACCCTTAACTCTATCTAGGGTTAAGATGTGCTGTTCAGATGGGAGCTTGGGATGTAACTTATGTAAAACTGTAAAATCTGGTGATGTGCAACAATACCTGTAGTGTTTTGGAGTAAGCCCTGGTGTCACTAGACTGAATATTGAGTTATGGTGGAATGCCCCAGTGGTGGAACAACTGCACACCAGGCCCCGGGGCAAAACACCAATCGGGCCCCCCCCCTGCGCACACCCACACATACACACACACACACACGCGCAAAAGTATATGTGGCGGCACTGAAACAAGTTTTAAAGTGTGGGTGCAAGAACACAAAAACCTTAACGAAAGAATTTGACTGACCCTCACAAAAACTGTAAAGTTTTAGTGGCTAAATTGCGTTTTCTATGCCTTTTCAGACAGGAGGGGATTTGTTTGGCTATGCCTAGAAAACAACGTTGTTACCAGTGTGGAGACCATCAGAGTTTTAACAAGGACAAAAATTCCACCATCAGCTCCCTGCCCATCTCATTCAATTCTGTTGCAAAAATTACAGTGTATTGTATAAGTGAATAGGGTATAGGTTAATTAGTGTGCACGCACCGTCTTTCTCATTCTCATAATGCGTTCATGCGTCCGGGTATAGCCCATTCAAATGTCATGTAGCCTAACTTTTTATATGAGGACGTTAGGCAGCCTTTAGATCCTACCCATCATGCACTACAGTTTTTTGAAATTTGAAATACAAAAGGAACAGCTTAGTTTGACTTCAAGTTTGTTATCTTAAGTTTCGTTGAAGGGATTTTACAGATTTTTTTTTTTTAAAGAATTAAAAATTACGCCATACACCCACCATAATAAGGATGTATACCAAAAATGACAGCTATATAAAATTGCAAGTCACAGTCAAAACATGTTATTCTAGCTGTCAAAAGCTCTGGAAAAATTATGGCGGTGTAACTTTGTGTGTATTTATAATGCGGAAGGGGCCTCTTATGGCTGGGTGGAGGGCCCCCTACGATCCAGGGGAGGTCTCTGGGCCCAGGGGTGGTCATCCCGCCCTTAGCTCTGCCCCTGCAATGTCCTGTGATTGGTTATTCCTTGTTCTACCACTACGGCTTGTGGGTGTTCAATAAAAAAGACACAACAAAGTCTCTAGCTGCATGCAAACTATGTCTCTGCATGTTTGCAGGGAATAGAACACAACAATACCCACCCATACTATGTACTGATGGGAGTCATCAACTTGCATGGTGTAAGAGATAATTAATGTAGATTGTATGAGGTGTGACCCTCTAGGTTGGTCTGGCATGTTTGGTGCCAAACTGACAGGAAAATGCTCCTGAATTCAAATCTGGTCAGTTACTGTTGTGAAATTGTATGTATCTAAAGTTATACATTTTTAATGAAAATCACCTGTAAAGTGGTGTCATTACAGTCAAAAATCCCAATATGACTGCTACAGACACCCCTTGAAAGCCAACCAATAGATGGCCTAGACTATTGGTCCAGGTGTTGAGTTCCTGATCATCAATATTCATGGACTTCAGACCATAAAACCCAGCACCTCAGACTCAGAGGGGTGATGCCCTCCAGTGAAGCTTGCCCGTAAAGCATGCCTTGAAGACTGCTGCACAGAAGAAAGCTCCAACTCCAAGAGAAAGCCTTTCACCTTAAAGCTTCACCAAGGGTAGAAAACCAATGGGGCTGCACACAAAGAACCGCTCCAGACGCCGTACCTTCTTGGGTGCCATCACTTCCTCAGCTCATCACCTCTGCAACCAAGTAATCCAACTTCCATTCATTTTAACAATCTAATTTGTGATAGTCAATCTGTTTTATAACTTTGAGGGTGTGTTTTCAAAATCATGTGCTTGCTTTGCAGAAGAGTATTTCCCCTTTAAGGTTACTCATTTAAATCTGGTCACTGCATTTCCATATTTCATTATGTTTTGCTTTATTCTGTGATGTGTTTTATGTTACATGTAATGTCTGTCGTATGTTAGTGTAGTGTTAGAAATAAATGTGTGACTTTTATACAACGCACATCTACGTGAGTGCTGACAATTAAATCATTGCCCCTATGTAGGAATTATTAGCTCAAATAAATTTTAATATTCTCCACCAATATGTTTGAATTAATTAAAGTTT